CTAGCCTGACACTCCATTACTTCTATCACTGACTCTGCCTGACCACATGTTGGATGGAAACTGCTAGTGCACTAGAACTGGCAATGGCAGCAGTAATACCCCCTGAGCAATTCGGGCCTAGGCCCTCCCTCCCTCATCTCTCAAAGCCTCTGCATACTTCTCTGTATAGGACTGAGGATCCTTCCTCATGATGCTGGCAAAAAATTCCAAGGCTTTCATCTTGGTGGTTTCAGCATGGGCCCTTGGGCCCCACAGGAACTCGTGGCGAGGAGGATCGCTGTCAGGCACCCGCCTGTACTCCAGGTACCCTTCCTGCACAAAATCCTCAGCGATGACTTTCCTGGGCTCCCCAAATAAGAAATTATTACTCCCAGCATAGAGCCCTAATGAATTCAACACTCCCTAGAACATCTCCTCACTGACACAGTTATCTTCCATGAAGATAATGCACAGGGCCAGTGTTAGGAGGCCAGTTTTGGGTAAACCCGGGGAGCCATGGGGCATCCCGTGATAGGTGATCCCTAGGGTCGTGACAAGGACATAGGAGTGAACAACGGGGTCCACTTCCACCATGTCTATGCCAAAGACCACCTTCATATCCTCAGAAGCCTCACTAAGGATCACAGGGTAGTGTCCCTCATAATCTCTAGTAACCCAAATCAGCATTTCTGTCTCGGTGGTCATCTCCTTCCTTTGATACTTGAGGAGAAGGAACTGCACCAAGTCAAATATCTTTCTATTTACTGCACGACTCAGGGGTGACTCAGCTTCTTCCCATTCCCCTACTTGGTGTCCAGAGGCCTCATCTGATGGTCTCCCTGCAAATTACCCTGTGGCAGTAGGTAGGGAGGGGGCTCTAGGAGAACCCTGGGGAGAACTTGGCTCTCCTCCACTAGAAACCTCCCTTGATGTGGTAGCAGTGGCTTCTGCCTCCTTGTCCAGGAGGACCTGTATGCTATTCAGGTCCTGTGTCTGTTTGGTCTTGAGGCCGGTCCAGGCGATTGCCGTGCTGGCTGTTCTGAGTGTGCATTGTGACTTCTCTTGGGAATAGCAGCTCATGGGGAGGAGGACTCACAGACCTGGAGAGAGAGGGAGCGTGAGAGGGAGAGAGAGACAGCGAGGGAGGCAGAGAGCGCAAATGGACTCTCTGATAGCCCTAGATCTGACAGCCCACAAAAAGGCCTGTCATAGGATTTTGCTAGGGTGGTACTTGAGGCCTGCCGGTCTCCTGGCATGCATTCCCCATGAGGACCTGAGCGAGGAAGATACAGGAATCTTCAGGGGGCAAACCCACTTTCTTGTCTGAAGCAAAGTCTCAAAGTCAGTTTCTGTGTCTCTTGAGATGGGACAAACAGAAGTGAGGCGGGGTCCGAATCTCAGCACACATGTTTTGAGGTAACTGTACTCAGAAGCCCAGTTCGGTTGGGTCCGTCTGTCCTAGCATAAGAGACCAGCCTGATCCTCAACAAGTTAAATGGAAATATCTAGAAAATTCCTTGTGATCCATGTACCTACCTTACTTAAGGCAAAGACCTTTGCCTCTGTGATACAGAACAAGATATCTGCTGAGTGGAGGGAAGCCAAACAAAGGCCCTAGAGGTTCACACAGGAGGGTAAGTATGAGCTGGTGTCCCTGTGTTTTCTGAGAGCCTCTCTCGAAGCTCTCCTTTAGTCAAGACTCAATTGAGAACACTCTTCTACTGACCTGAGTCAAGGTTCCTCTTTCTTGGTCCTTCAACTCCTTGAGAACAGTGACCTGGAGACAGGACAGGGGGCTCAGAATTACAGCTCTGTCCAGGAGAGGTTACAGGTGACAAGGGATGAATTTTGTTGGGTTCCCTCTCTGTGCTCTGATAGGAGTTTCTTTCAGCCACCACTTGGGGTCCTCTCCTAAACCCTTTCCATATCCTAGAACCCACATGCCATAGCAAGATCCACCACCAGGTCAAATTCCTCAGCTCCCTGAGATCCTGAAAACTACATGTGCCCCACTCCCAAGTCCCTTCTACCTGTTGTGATATCTCCAGTGTTGTCCCATGACCTGGGCTCATCTCTACTGAGATGTGGCTCACTAGGTAGAGAAGAAGTTGGTTCCTCTCACCTCTACTTTTTGAAATCTCGCATTTACACTAGACCTCATCTCTTCAAAGACTTCACTTCTTGCCTGAGATTGATCAGTTGAGCATGCCACCTAATGCTTTTGAGGACTGACTCTTGGCTGCAGTCTTCAGGAGAGGTCCAAACCTTGAATCCCTCTGCTCTACATATGTGGTTCTCTCTACTGACCAGACATAATTCTAGGACCATGGTCATCACCTCCCCATGAAGTCCCACTCCATGAGATGAAGCAGAAAGGAAGGCAGTCACAGCAGCTGCCCTGCCAGGACTCCCCAGTCTGAAGAACTGAGTAAGCCGTGAACTATATGGGACATTGCCTTCTCACAGGATCAGTCTTTACCATGGTAGCTCACCTGGGTAGATGACAGATGCTTGACACCTCGTAATATGCTCAGACTTGGCTCTCTCCGCTGCTCTGGTGCTCTCCCTCACTCCACAGACTCACCTTCCTGTGAAAGGAGATTGACATGAAGAGGGAGCACATCTGAACACCACCAGGTGGGGTTTTTCAATCCTGACAAAAGAGCAGGGACCTCATCTGTCTTAGGGATTCTAGAGATACTGATATTCACTCCTCACAAGGTCCATGCTAACCTCCAGATCCATCTCTCTGGACAAAACCACCACTCCCATAATACTCACCTAGTCCCCTGATTATGAAGGCAGAGGTGGCATCTTAGGTCCACAGTCTCCCCAAGAATCACCCTGTGCTGACAACAGGGGCAGCTTTGGCATGTCCTGTATCGGAGATCTCCTTGCTCCTCCTTGAGGACCCCGGTACCTTCCCCTCCAGAACTGAGTCCTCACTTCTCAGAACAAGGCCCACTCTTTCTTCCCTAACACCCCTGAAGATGTATCAATGCCCATTGCATCTGGTCACTCTGCACAGGGCCTCTCGGGCTGACCAGAGGGTGGTGGTTCCTCCTGTGGTCTACAGTGCAAGACTGTCACTCCTCCAAGTGTGACCCAGTTGTTGCCAGAAACAATTGGCAGGGAACCCTCTTTCTATAAAGTCTTTGCGGTACAGTTTCTGCTTTCACCTCGAGTGTCAAAATAGCGTGGCCATCTCCCTCAGGGAACACCACAAAATGGTTTTAAGGTCCAAAACCCCCAGATGTGGATGTGGAATTGTTGCGACCATCTTATTCCAGCACTGAGGCGTCCTCCAGGCTCCAGGGACCTCACAAAAGTCTTTAATTCCCACCAGTACCAGAAGGCACAGAGGCAGGGGATCCTTCCTGCATGTCTGTCAGGGTTTGGATCAAGTCCTTGCAAATGATACAGTAGAGCTTGATTTTCTGGCCTTCCTGTCAGAGATGGAGCTTTCCCACCCATTCCCAGTTCTCAGCTTGAGTTTAGAATGTCATCTGGCCCCGTCTTCGGAAGCATGTGAAATGCCTCCTGTATACAGGGTCCCTGGAAATGGAGGGACGTGGAGGGTCTCATTACCCCCAAGTGAGCCCTCAATGGGTAGTTACAGACAGAGTGGATCTTCTCCACTCCAGTCGCACGTGGCACACATGCTCTGGAAGTGAAGTCGCTGTCTGTGCCTGGGAACTCGGGAAAACCCCTCCCCCACATTGTCCGCAGTGACAGAGGGGGGACCGGCTCGTTCCTCAACCTGGGCCCTGGTTAGGTCAGTGTGGCATCATATTGGGATCCCTCTATCAGGAATGGGACTCCCCCAATCCACCTGCGGGTCTGACTTTCGCTGTGGAACTGATGCAGGCCTCTTTCTGGAACCTTCAAAAACGGCTCCTGGCCAGGGTTCTGAAAGACCACTCTGGCACCGGCCACATCCAAAAAGGGGACCCCACTTCCTACCACGATAAAAAGGGGTTAAACTGCATTATTTGGAAGCCCCTGTGTCCCCAGAACGGCCGATGAAATCCACCTGAAGCTCCCACCTCCACTTGGGACCAGCGGCATGACTGTTGCTCCTCAGGAACCTCCACAAAATGGCGCTCGGCCCCTCAAGTCCCCGGATGCAGATGCTGAAAGGTGGGGAGGGTCTCATTCCTGCAACAGCATCTAAACTCCCTCCGGGAGCCTCACAAATGGCTCCTGGCCTCTTCATTTCAGGCATGTAGATGGGGTGGGGATGGGAGGGACTCATTCTCACACATCAGCCCCCATTTGGTGCAGGACCCTCTAAACGATACGATGTTTGACTCGATTATCCCTGTCTGTCTGTGCCGGGCTTCCACACTCACCATCAGCGTTCATGTTGACTGATAAAGCCACCGGGATGTCGTCGTCTCTGGGAACCCAAGAAATGGCTCCTTATTGTCAGAGTCCCTGGACAAGGAAGGGAAGGAGCTCATTCCCACGAACGACCCCGTTTGGTGTAGAGTTCACTGCACATACTGCCTGGGGGTCCCTCTATCCAGAGTGGAGTTTTTAAGGCTCACACTCAAGTCCTGCTTTCTCTCTACAAGCCATGTGCCAGTGTTTAGCTCTGGGAATGTCTGAAAATGGCTTGTGTTAGAGGGTACCCCGAACTGCAGTGATAAGAGACTCGATGTTTACAATCGGGCTCCACTTATGACCAGGCTGACCACGGGTATGAAGCTGCATTCTCTGAGAACATGGAAAGTAAAGAGCCTCTGCAGTCCTCCCTAAGAACTCATCCCATTTGTGAACTACTAAGTGGCCATCTCTCCTCCAGGAGCTTCATAAAATGGCCCCGAAACCCCAACATCCCTGCATGTGGATGGTGAGCAGTAAGGGGCTCATTCCCCAAGTCAATGCAAGGAATCCCCTAACATCCAGGACTTCAAAACGGCTCTTATTTCCCTGATGTCCCTGAATGCAGATGCACAACTGTTGCGGTGGGATGTGTGTGCGTGTGTGTTTGTCGGTGTGTGTGTGTCGGTGCGTGTGTGCGTGCGTGTCACATTCTCCAAGTTAATCCAGGTTTGCGCTTTACCCTCAGAAGGATACATACATGTAGCTTGATTATCTGGGCTTGTTGACCTGGGTGGGACTTCCTTGATTCGCTCCCAGCTTTCACCTTGATTAAAAGAAACCTGGATCCCTTCTCTTTGAGAACCTCTGAAATTGATCCTGTGGGCAGAGTCTCTGGATAGGGAAATTGAAGGAATCACTGCCCCATTTGGGTCCCCTTTTGATGTAGTATCCACCACACTGGTTATCTTGAGTCCATGTATCGGGGTGAAGTTTCTCAGGTCCTACTATCTCCTTGAAAACCACATGCCACTCATTCTCTCAGGGACTGTGCAAAACGTTTCCTAATCGGGGCACCCATAAATGGAATGAAAAGGGGCTCATTCTTCCACGTGTACCATAGAGTACCGTGCTAAGCAAATGGCTGAAACTACATTCTTCTGGGATACTCAATTCAGAAGTAGTTCTTTTCAGTCCACCTTACTAAGCTCTTACCTCAACACAGAAAGCCCAAGTGGCCCTCTCCCTTCCAGGGATCTTACAAAATGACACTGAGGTCCGTCCCTGATGCAGATGTGCAAGTGTAAGTAGGTCTCCTTTTCACGTGACAGCTCAGGTTTCTTGCAGAACCTTCAAAAGGACACAGTGCAGCTTCATTATCCATTATGCTAACGTACCCTCCTCATTTCTAGAGGGAGCTCCAGATCATTTACAGACAGGGGTTCAAGGGCAGAGGCAGAACCCAGTCTCTGAATTACTGGATGTAGGTTCCAATGCTGCCTTTGACCACCAGGGCTCATGTGTGTTCTAACAAGTTTTCACTTTTGTAAGATTCCATTTCTAAGCTCTGTAAGCCGGTGTTCTCAAGGCTCTTAGCAATATGCAGAGTCCACAGAATCATAGCAACAAAGCCCATCATCATACAGCCTCTGACCTGTGTTGAAGGGAAGACCATGGCTGGCCCTCTGACTCCTAGGGCCTTCTCTCCCTAGTTGCCTCTGTGCCTCTGGAACCTGAAAAGAGCTTGGGTGACTGCTTGACTGTGGACACCTGTGGACCTAACCATAGAGATGTGAGAAGAAGCTGTGAGGGAAACTATCATAGACACTCCATATGGAGGGAAGGGACATGAAATGAGGGGCTGCTCCCTCCCTTCAGAAACAAAATCACAGGCAATGAGTGTGGGTCTGCATAATAAATCCCAACATTTCCCTGAACATAGTGAGAGCTAGGGCCATGCAGGGGAGGACTGGACAAACCCATATCACACTGTCTGTCCTTGGTTCAGCATCAGGGACTACTCTGCTGCAAAGTCAGGGGAAACGGGGGGAAATGAGTAGAAGTGTCTTGTCCCCTGAGCATCATGGGCCTGCCCCTCATCATATCTGTTTTTCTGCTGTCTGGTGTAATTATCTATACACTCTTATTTCCTAGAGCTGCCAAATACACCTGTGGTGGTCTGAATGCAAATGTCTCCCAGAGGCTCCAAGTATTGCAGACCTCTTGCTCCCAGTTGGTGGAGCTATTTTTGGAGGTATTAAAAGGTGTGGTCATGCTGGAAGATGCATGTCCCTGGGGGCAGGTTTAGAGAGTTCTTAAGCCTTGTTGGATTTCCAGACACTCTCTGCTTCCGGTGCCTGCTTGAAGACGTGAGTACTTAGCTTCTGCTCCTACTCTAGCCATCGCTGCTACCATGCCTCCCCGCCATGATGGACTCTTGCCCGTTTGGAACCATAAGCTACATAAACTCTTCCTGTTATAAGTTCCCATGGTCACATTGATTTGTGACAGCAACAGAAAATTAACTAAGACAACACCTAAGATCACGAAAACAAGAAAGTGTAAGCACAAGTACAGAAACTCCAACTTCTAAGGGGCAATGAGAAATAAAGCATTGAGTTTACCATTGCCCACAGAGGCACAACTTGAGTATTGAACGTAAAGAACCACAGCCTATTTGGTGCACTAAACACGAAAAATTCAAGTGCACATTCCAGGGCCCACTCTCTGTTAGGTTTAAGTACAATACCTGTGAAGCAAAATACTTGAAGGCGATCAATTTAACAACAATTCCTAGAGAATAAATAACGCGCTATTCATAACTAGTCATTTCTCTCAAAGCACAATCACTCTTTTGACCAATATTCACATGAATGATTATCAATAATAAGAAATGTAGCCTTTTCCTGTGCTTTTTGGGGCATGTAAAGAGCATTAATATTCTTAACCTATTTCTAATCTAAGCTTTAGGTATTAATAAAGTTCCTTATTAGAAAATACTATAAGAATGTTTTGTTTACAGATGTTTGGAATGACACTGCCACCATCAGGGGAGTTATCTTGAGGTCCTAGAGCATACACCTCCAACACTGCCTCAATGTCATCAAAGTAACTGGTTTTCCTGAGCTTTATTCTACCCAAAGAGGAAACATTTGCACATAAATTGTTTGGCAACTGACTCACTAGGGCCATGCACAATCATGCTCAATTACGGAGGTGCTGACTCTATCTACTCTACCATATCTAATGGTTTTCATCACATGTCCAAAGGATAATACCAAAACTTGCTTCTGAACCCCATCTTATTTCTAAGTCACACCAATCCTAGCGCAGCACTGGACATACGAACTTTCTAGTAGAGCATCCGTCCATAGCCATCCATTATCCTGAAACATTTATTAGTATTCCCCAGTAAGTATGAAACCTCATTCTTGATCACATTTTTATATGAGGAAATATTTCTATAGTATCATTTTACCTTCATCTCACCCACAGCATGCTGTGTCCTGATCCCTTTTTATATGTTGATTTTTGTGGTCACAAAGATAAAAGTTATTTCCGGACAGATTTAGTCTTTCTAAGTGTCTGTTCTTCAAATAACACATGATCACGAGACACATACTGGATGCATACCATTCTACGTAGGCAACACATTCTGGGTCTGTCGTCACACTCAACTGCAATCAGGAATCCAGGTCAAGCATAACTGTAGTAATTCGACTTGACCATCCAAAGGCATACCAAACAAAGTCTATGATCAACCTTACTCTACTGAGCCTGCTGTCTCTCACACATATTACACATGATAGACATCAATCTGGGTACAGCACTGCAAACAAGATACTTAGTATGGTCTTGGTGATTTCCACAGGCTTTATATACTTCATATCTTTACTCTGGCACCAGTAATTCAGGAAACTTGTACCCTGACCTAATTGTTTCATTATGTCTTAGAGAGCAACATATATTATCATTTGTATTCCTCAAATGCTCTTCACATTCCGTGTCCTTTCTCATTACTTCTGTTTCAGTGAATGGTTTTCACTACCTGGATAATAAGCTGATAGTTTCCTCCTTTTTATCAATGTGCCTTTATCTTTTTTCAGTATCCATCAGTAGGAATCATAATCTTAATTTAGGATTCTCTTCAGAATCTCTCATGAGGATGCATGTTGTGAAAGTAGCTAAACTACAAAGTGGCATCATATCCACATATTTACCAACACTGCATTTTGTGTGTCTTCCTCTTTGGACAGGTTGCAATTTTTGATGTAAAATGCAAGAGGTAACCATCTGCATAATGCTGTGCACAAAATTGTTGAATAAGGACACAATGACTCCACATTCCCTTATTTCTCATATGCTTTCATAAATTCTTCCAGAATAGTATGATACATGACAACTAAATTTCTTTATTCCTAGGTCTTGAGAAGTGGCAAATATGTTGGCCTTTGTCTTCTTTCTCTTTTTAAATCCTGTGACAACAGACTCCTTTCATCACACTTGACTGATATTGTTAGGAAGGAAATTACCGTTTACCTTTTCATTATATTATTTAACCTTTAGGTATTTATGAAATAAATGCCTAAACTTAATCATCTTTTAAAAGTGTACGATACAGGCCCTTAAATATTATTTCACAAAGATGGAAGCAATGTCAAGTGCACCTGTGCAGATAAATTAACCACAGGCCCCAGGGTATATAATTAAGGGGCTTGTTGACCTTTAATGCACTCTACCCAGAGAGTTCTTGTTCAGATGTACTTAACTTAAAAGCATCAATGTCTCCAGGGATTGACACTCAACTGTTATTGGACATACACTGCCACAGAAGCCTCTAAATAACCATGATACCTTTACTCTCAAGGAACTTATTATAAAGATCATATTATTAACCACTCGATTTATTTTCCACATGTATTTCTCGTGAGGTCAAGAATGTCACTTGTCTTCTCTTAGGATAAATGCTTGTCTTTACCAAGAGAATAAGTGTTTCACAATACTTCCTTATAGTATGAATTATCATGATGCCCTTTATGTTTCTCTTCTCTAACCCAAAGTTGTTCCTACTGCGCATGTGTCACAACAATGCTTTTTACTATACCTCGTTTACAGGTGCCTGACTAGTCATCCAGAAATCAGAGTGTGTATTTTAGGGACAACATCCTGACTTTAAACTTGTTACCTTTGTGAACTCAGTATCTTCTTGTAGAGTCCATCAGTCCTTATCACAGAAAAAGAAATATGAAGCATACTACTTCTAAGTCCTACTGAATGCCAAATATAGTATTGTTGTTTCTATAATTTTCATTCCACATCCTATGTCCTATTCAGTTACTATCAGCATGATTTCCAGGATGTATAGTTTAATCTCGTGGGTGCATGTGCATGTGTGTGTATCTGTCTGTGTTTTGTGTTCTCTTAATGATCATGATTGGAATTGTAGACAAATGTTATTACTTACAGGAGGCATATTGCTGTATGATACTGTCAGGAAAACATACAGACTACTGGAACACATTAGAAGATCCCGAGATAAACCAGCTATGGACGCCTAGCATTGACAATGTCATCAACAACACATCCTGTATAAATGACAGTATTTTTTAAGTGGTGCTGGCAAAACTGGGTATCCATCTGCAGAAGAGTGAAATTAAATCTCCATATCTCACGCCTACAAAAATCAGTTCAAACTTGACCAATCATGATCATAACCTTTCCTTATCAACAGATATTCTTAAACTGATACAAGTAAATCTCATCAGGATATAGACAGGCAAAAGCAATTCTGAATACAACCTCAGAAACAGAATTACCCTCAAAAATTCACTAGAGTGATTACATCAAATTTAAGAGTTCTTTCATAGAAGAATCTATGAAGAATAAAAAAAAAATGGAGAAAATGTTTGCCAGCTCTACTTCCCACAAGGGGGGTAATATCTATACCATATGAGAAAATGCAAAAATATCAAAAGTATAAACCTGGAAGCTGGAGAAATGGTCCAACAGGTTAAGAGCCCCTGACTTCTCCAGCAGAGGATCCATTTTTGACTTCGAGAACCCACTTGGCAGCTAACAACCACCTGCAATTATATTTCAATGGTATCTGATGCTCTCTCCTGGCCTCTACAGGCATTCCATGTAACAGGTGCTCCTACAAACATGCAGGCAAAACAAACATACAGAAAATACTAAAATAAACAAATGCGACAATAAAAAGATATAGAAATGCCTATCAATAAATGGGAGAATGAACTGAAGCAACATTGTTTAAAATGTGATATGTAAGTGGCAAAATTTTTCAAAAGTGTTCAGCCCTCTTAGCCATCAGAAAAATGTAAATTAAAACTATTTTGAGACTCCATCTCACCCTAGTCATAATGTTTATCATCAAGAAAATAACTGGCAACAAATGCTGGCAAAGACATCAGGGGAAATTAAACACTTATTTACTGTTTGTGTAAATAGTAACTTGTAAAGCCACTATGGACATCAGTGTGGAGGCTTCTCAAAAAAATAGATGTAAAATATTACCTGCTGTACAAATCTTGGGCAAATTCCAAAGCCACTACTTCCAACCTCAGAGACACTTGCATTCATGTTGATTGTAGTTCTCTTCACATTACAAAGAAAATGCCATCAGCCTATATACCTGGATGAATTAAAATCTCGTGTATATATAAAAGTAATGGATTTTTTTACACAAGCATAAATGAAAATGAGTAAGTTTGCAGGAAAATGGAAATGAAAAATATAGTAATTAACGTATCTCAGAATCAGAAAGACAAATACAGACACTGGGCCCAAAACCTGTGGCTGGCTAGGTCATACCCCAACAGGCGAAACTAATACTGTTATTCTGCTAAATAGAATCAGTATTACACACTGTCCTCTAAGTTCTTATCATTACACCCCACAGATAAGGTCACCGCTCAACTCTGGTCAGAGAAGCAACTTTTTGCAGAAGATAGCCATTAACAGATTCCCACAGCTAATTACCATTTAGTTTGAGAGAATAGAAATCTGGAATGTACTCAGTTGTGAATGTGAGGTCTGTATCATACTCCCCCCTCCCGAGGCTCAAGGATCATTGTGCAAGAGGGAATCAATAGATTTTAAAGACAATGATAGCAGATGAATAAAAGGAATCAGGGTTTTCCAGACAGAGGATGAACTTTCACGTATGAAAAAGAGACCTTAAAGGAGGGGATTGGGGATGACAATAGGACATGTGAGATATGAAAGAGAATTCTGGGTGCAGAAGAACAGAATGGGTAAAGGGGATTCAGGTAGGAGTGGAGAAGAATGGAAAACTTAATCGCTCCACACTTGTGATAATTATAGTCCAGAAATGAATGCTGGATGAATAAAACCATCCTAAGAAAATTGGTCCTGGAGGCACAGCTACCAACGAAGATGCGGCACCCGGATACTGAACCTGTGACAGTGGCCGCCAAGGCCTCCACAAACGAAGAACATCGTGAGCCTTCCTTGACTCAGAGTGGGGCATTTCACTTCTATTTCAGGTGAATTACCCAATCCTAAGAACAGCACTGCACACAGCATGTCGAATATTGTGTGTGACCTGCTCAGGCTCCATCATCTGGTTCAGCTACAAAGAGAGACCAAATAACATTGATGCCTGCAGTCTAATCTAATATTTCAAAGAAGCTGAGAACAAACAGTTATGCTTCTCATGATGCAGAATTTTCAGAGCAGTTCTTAGCTGCTGCTTCATAGAATGGTGTTCACTTTCAAGACTACCTGTGAAAACACTTTTGTTTTGAATATTACAATGCTCCTTTAGCTTTCTTTTCTTTTCTAATCTAAAGGAATGACCACTAAGTACTGTCAACTGGGATGATCTCTTCAGCACATCTTGTGAAAGTGGCAAAAATGCACATTGGCATCAATAAACACATCTCTGGAGCACATGCATCTACAGCACTACTGTCCTATGGTTACCATGACGACTGCTGCATTTGGTTAGCCTTACAATATAGAGAGAGGTTGCAGTTACTTCATTCACTAAGTACCTGAAAACTCGCTCCAAACTGCAGAGCCCACAGCTTTCTATGAGAGGGTTCATCCTACCCCTCTGACTCCGGTGATCTACATTTCATCCTACCCCTCCGACTCCGGTGATCTACATGCCATTTGACCCCATATTCCTGTATGTTACTCTCTCTCTGTCTCCCTGTCTCTTGATCTAGAATATTGAAAAAATATTCACAGACTGACTTTTACTAATTTTATTTTTCACATGAAAGGAAAACTTAATCGCTCTACCTTTGTGATAAGTATATTCCAGATGTGAATGCTGGATGAATAAAACCATCCTAAGAAAATAGGTCCTGGAGGCACAGCTACCAACGAAGATGGGCACCCGGATACTGAACCTGTGACACTGACCGCCAAGGCCTCCACAAAGGAAGAAGATGGTGAGCCTTCCTTGACACAGAGAAGGGTCTTTCATTTATATTTCATGTGAATTACCCCACCCAATGTAAAGCACTGAACTCAGCATAGTGAATACGGTGTTTGTGCTGTTTCAAGCTCCATCTTCTGGTTCAGCTAGAATGAGGCCAAATAACATTGATGCCTGCAGTCTAACCTAATATTTAAAAAGAATTTGAGAACAAGCAGTCATGCTTGCCATGATGCAGACTTTGTAGAGCAGGTCTTACCTGCTGTTTCACAGAATGGTGGTTTTTTCCAAGGTGACTTGTGAAAACCTTTTCTTTTGAATGTTGCAATTCTCCTTTAAGTTTCTTCTTTCTTTTCTTCTCTAATCTAAAGGAATTATCACTAAGTACTCTCTATTGAAACAATCTCACGAACGCTTGTTAAAGTGGTGACTATGCACACTGAGCTTAATGAACACATCTCCCCAGCACATGCATCTACTGTAGTATGTTCTTTTGTTACCGTGAGGACGGCTGCATTTGGTGAGTCTTACATTTTACAGAGTGTTTGCAGTTACTTGTTATGAACCTGGAACTTTTCTCAATATTGCAGAGCACACAGATTTCTGGGAGAGGGTCAGGCATTCTCTCAATTGACTCCTAGAATATCAAACAGATTGGATAAGTGTCGCCACTCTTGTAACAAGAACAATAAATTCCTTCATTCATTGCTTCTGAGAGTGGAAAGGCAGGTTCCACCCATCCCTCTGACTCCTGTGACCTACATGCCTTTTGATCTCATGTTACTTTATGCTGTTCTCTGTCTCCCTGTCTCTTGATCTAGAATATTGAATAAACATACTCAGACTGACTTTTACTAATTTTGTTTTTAACATATAAAGGAAACTTCATCACTGCACCTTTATGATAATAAAACTGAATGTATTCCGGAGGTGAATTTTGATAAATTAAACCACCCTAAGAAAATAGGACCTGGAGGCACAACTACCAACCAAGATAGGGCGTCTGGAAAACTGTACCTGTCACACTGACCGCCAAGGCCTCCACAAACGAAGAACACGTGAGCCTTCCTTCACTTTGAGCAGGATCTTTCACTTGTATTTCATGTGAATTATCCACCCAAAGTAAAGCACTGCACACAACATAGTGAATATGGAGTTTGTGCCACTCCCGGCTCCATCATCTGGTTCACCTACAATGAGTAAACATGATACTTGCACTCTGACCTGATATTGAAAAGAATATGAGAACGCACAGTCACGCTTGTCATGATGCAGACTTTTCACAGAAAGTCTTAGGTGCTCTTTCAGTTCACGGTGTTCATTTTCAAGACGAGGTGTGAAACCACTTTTGAGTATTACAATGCTCCTTTAAGTTTCTTCCTTCTTTTCTTCTCTAATCTAATGGAACTACCACGAAGGACTGTCCATTGAAATGACCTTATGAATACTTGTGAAAGTGGCGACTATGCATATTGGCATCAATAAACACATCTTTTGAGTGCATGTACCTATAGCACAATGGTCTTATGGTTACCGTGACAACCATTTGGTAAACCTTACAATACAGAGAATGGTTGCAGTTACTTACGTTATGAACAACCTGGAACCTCTCTCAAAATCGCAGAGCACACAGCTTTCTGGGAGAGGGTCAGACACTCTCAATTGACTCCTAGAATTTCAAGCACATTTTACCAGTCCGTCAGCCTTGAAACATGAACAATAAATTTCTTCATTCATAGCTTCTGGAGAAGGAAAAGACAGGCTCTGTCTACCCCTCTGATTCCTGTGATCTACATGCCTTTTGACTGCATATTATTTAATGCTATTCTCTGTCTCCCTGTCTCTTGATAGTGAATACTGAACAAACATAAGCAGACTGAATTTTACTAATTTTACTTTTAACATATAAAGAAAACTCAATGGCTCCACCTTTATGATAATAAAACTGAATGTATTCCAGAGGTGAATTTGGGATAAATTAAACCATCCTAAGAAAACAGGTCCTGGAGGCACAACTACCAATCAAGATGGGGCAGCCAGTACCTGTAACACTGACCACCAAGGCCTCCACAAACGAAGAACATGGTGAGCCTTCCTTGACTCAGAGTGGGGTCTTTCATTTGTATTTCATGTGAATTACCCCAGGCAAAGCAAAGCACTGCACACAGCGTAGTGAATATGGAGTGTGTGCCATTCCAGGCTCCATCATCTGGTTCAGCTACAATGAAAAATCAAGTAATATTGATACCTGCACTCTAACCTAATATTTAAAAGAATTTGAGAATAAACAGTCATGCTTGTTGTGATGCAGCTTCTTCAGAGCAGGTCTTAGCTTCTGTTCCAGAGAATGGTGTTCACTTTCAAGACTAGGCGGGAGATCATTTCTGTTTTGAATATTGTAATGCTCCTTTAAGTTTCTTCCTTCTTTTCTTCTTTACTCTAAAGGAATTACAAGTAAATGTTTTCCACTGAAATGGTTTTATGGACATTTGTTGTGAAAGGGGCTTGACGATTCATCCTGACATAAAGAAACACATCTCCTGAGCACCTGCGTGTACATATATCACAATGTCCATATGACTAGGACCAACACTGCACTCGGTGAGCCATACATTATGGAGAGAGGTTTCAGATACTCATATTACCAAAAACCTGGAACCTTTCTCAACATTGCAGAGCACCCAAATTGTTGGTAATGGAATACACACTCTCAGTTGACTCCTGGAATATCAGATTTTTTTCAATCCTTCCAGTAGACTTGTTCCATCAACAATAAATTTCCTTATTCATAGCTACTAGAGAATGGCAATACACTACCCTTCCATCTCTCCCTCTGTCTTCTGTGATTTACACGCCATTTGATCTCATTTTGTGTTTTGGTTTTTTGGGGAAAGAACTTAATCTCCCCTTTCTCTGCCCTCTGTGACTTATATATATTCAACAAAAGAAGAATGGGCAGTAAGGATCATGTCAATAAATCCTACGTCATGGGGCATCAAGGACCAATAGAAACATAGGAAACAAATCTAGGGGTACCTGGGTCTATACCATCATCACAATACCTAGGCTATACCCTCTATATTTTATTTCCTTAATCAAAAGACATTTTTACTATGTGCAAGTGACTGTCATATCTGAATATGATTTGTTTATGTGTCTGCCTAGATACTCC